TAAAAACGACCGAAATTATTTTTTAGCCAACCTAATAATTCTGCGCTTCATGCGCTTAGCGATTAATAAAGCGGCGTTCGCTTCTAAGGATGTTGCGCCTTCGTCATGCAGCAGCCTATGAACAAGTTATTTGCACATTTTTCGTATTCGTGTAAGTATTGGTAAGGGGGAACATTTTCTTGTTGACAATACTTTAACATTGCAAGAAAAAAATCTGAAATTGTATCTGGGGATAGAAGGTTGAAAGGCTCAAATCTATTCAATAATCGGGGTTTTTTTCTCCTTTTTACCTATCTTATCCTTTAAAATTTCCTATTTTCCATTCTCGCTACGGTATATGACTAGGTTTTTTAAGGTTGTTGAGGAGACGACTGATGTTTCGCCTTCACCTCCTCTTCCTCCTTTGTCTCCAACTCCGGAGAGGAAAGAAACTGAAACCCCTGTGGATAATGTGTCGGAGATCGAGGTGAGTGTGAGCATCCTAATTTTTGCATGTGTATATTTTTTCTTGCAGAGGAAAAGCAGTGATCCCAATGTTCTGGCATGTAGCGAGATGTTACCTGGACCACCTCCGGTGCCACCAGTGTATGGCGACAATGATTCACCCGACGGAAGTGAGTTCTGGTCCTTTCTTTCGGTCACTCACTTGAACATTCGAAATAGAATTCATTTTGTTTATTTTGTAGAGTTTGTATGTTGTTAATTTTTTTTTTGTTTATTTTCGGAAGATCTGAATCGGGTGTTCTGTGCAAAAGTCGAGATAGGCTAGTTGTGAGCATTTATTAGACTTGACATTATTATCCGTGCCCTGCAGAAACTTCATGGATCGTTTTATGGTGAAGTTTAAAAAGTCATTCAGGTGCTGTTGACCACGAGCGGAGGGAATCCGTGGATTCTCCTAACTTGCCACAGCCACCGCCATTCCCAACTCTGAAGATTTTACCAGTGCCTCCACCGCCACCTCCTCAGTCATGTGGTCAGTTTGGTTGAGTTTTGATTTTCTCATTAGGATAGGGAACCTACAAAACTGTCTAATTCGTCTTGACTGATCAAAGTGACCAATTGGGAAGTTTGTTGCTAGCTAGCTTGCCTTATAGCGAGGAATTTATAATGTCATAGTGGCCAGCGTTGCTTTGCAAAGCTATTAATCTTCAAGAAAATCGTAATTTCGGACAGCTATAGTAAAAGTAGAAACAGTTATTTTGCAAAATTTTATGTTCTTATTTTTGTTAGCAAGAACACTTTCTATAGTAATGATCGCACATGACAACAGAATTAGAAAACTGGACTCTATAGAGATACGCCTCTTCATTTTCCGGTTTCACTTTTCTAGGAATTAAGAAGTTTATGAGACGCAGTTATTCTTAGGGCCGCATGCATTAACATCCCCGCTGGGGA